GCACAAACTGAAGCAGAGGAAGTTCCAGCTGAACCCGAGGAAGAACTTCTTCCCTCTGAGGGTGACGGAGCCCTGGCCCAGGCTGCCCAGGGAGGCTGTGGAGTCTCCTTCTCTGGAGATATTCCAGCCCCGCCTGGCCGCGGTGCTGTGCAGCCTGCTCTGGGTGACCCTGCTTGGGCAGGGGGTTGGGCTGGGTGGCCCACAGAGGTCCCTTCCAACCCCAAACACTCTGTGATTCTGTGGGTCTTGCTTGTGGGGAGGGGTCACAACCAAGGCTGGGAAACCCCAGCGGGACGTTTTCGGTGGTACGAGCTTTTGAACCGGCTCAGGACACCAAGGCAAAATAAAGCAGCCCAGGAAAAAACTCTTGGGGTTTCTATGAAATAAAAGTCAAGGGAGAGCTCTGCTTTGCCACGGAGGAGAGGCTTCCCCCAGCACCCGACAGGCTCCAGGTAAAGCGTGTTTCATGCCACACCTAAGCATGAATGCGCAAATGGGAACAGCTTGGGCATCTGGAAAATAGATGGTCCCTGCCCAGACCGCCCTCAACCACTGCATGACCAGGGCTCTCCAAATCCCCGTGGGGCTGAAAGGCAAACCGAGAGCAGAAAGAGCGAAGGGACACAGCAACGTGGAGTCTGAATGAGCTGAACCCTCCCATCCTTCATTTCTGGCAGGATTTCTACCTGGGTTTTTCCACCAAACTGTTATAAAATACTGGGGTTTGGGTCTTCCCTGAGAGTTGGGAAGTATTGTCGCAAGTTTAGCAGGCATGGTGGTCGGGGTGGATGGTTGGACTTGATGATCTTAGAGGTCTTCTCCAACCTATGAGTCTATGATAAGTGCTAAGTGTCTTCAGCCAGCACTCACGTAGGCACAGAGCACTTGGGAAAACGCGCCGTTGGTTCCCGGCCTGGCGAGACTGTACTTACACACCATGAAATATGAAATAACGATGAAATTATCCACACGGGGCAAACCTCCTTTTTGTTTCCCGTGGCAGTGGGCAGGCAGAAGCCACCGGTTCTCCCCGCTCCCAGCGCACGCCTGGCCACCAGCTACCCACCCACCTCTTCCCTCCCCATCTCCCCACGCAGCCAGGACTGCTGCACGGGGAAAGCTGGAACCCTAGGCACGGGTAGCAAAGGTCTTACCGCTGCGGTTTGCTTCAGGAAACCTAATTAATTCCAAAGGAAGCTTTGAAACAATTAACGGTACGAAGAGAGGGGTTCCTTCAGCGACACCCGGGCCGCTCGCTGCCTACACGGGGCGAGGATCTGAACGCTTCCAGGGTCAGAGGAAAAATGGCTTTGCGAGGCAGCGGTGGCTCGCTAGAGCCCACGGGTGACAAAGGTTAAACCGCATGTCCCCGCTGCGTCACCCCCTGAGCCTGGACCTTCACCCAGGCGTCCCCATCCGCCGCGTCCCCGGGACCGGCCGGGGCTCAGCGCCCGGGAAAGCGCAGGTCCCGACGCTACCGACACCTTCCGAGACCC